ATTGCCCATCAATGCAATTGTATGCCTGCGCGTAAAGCACTCAACATCGGGTGCTAGAACGTGTGCACACTACTGGACCGAGCTTTGAGTGAGCGCCCTGAGCGACGCACTGCACTAGTCGCGATGAAACTGGCGCGCTACAACATTGATATTGTGGCGCTCAGTGAAACCCGGCTCGCTGAGCAAAGTAAGTTGAATGAGGCTGATACTGGCTACATGTTCTACTGGGTTGACAACGCCACCTCAGTGCCACGTGAACATCGGGTCGAATTTGCACTATCCGATCGCCTAACTGACCAGCTGGTAGCTGAGCCGACTGGCATCATTGCGCGACTGGTGACTGTTCGCCTACGACTAGGAAGAGGTAAGTTTGCCACTTATGAGCACGTACGGTCCGACCATGTGTTATCCTGATGACACGCGTGATCGATTCGACACTCAGCTATCATCCGTGATACGGTCTGTGCCAAGGAGCGACCGACTATTTCTGCTGGGTGATTTCAACGCGTGCGTTAGATGTGATGCATCCGTGTGGACGGATGTCATCGGTCCGCATGGCATTGATTCAGCGAATGCGAACGGTGATAAGCTGCTCTCGCTTTATGCCACTCACGACCTGACGATTACAAACACGGTTTGCACTGAGTGCAAGTATATAGTAAGTTGGACGCACCCACGGAGTGGTCACGCTCACCTGCTGGACTATTTTATCATACGTCAGCGTGATATGCGTGAACTGCGTTGAGCACAGTGTGGTAATAATCACAAATTGATGCGTCATCATCATCAACACCAGTACATCAGCCATTTGAACTGATGCTTCGCTACCATACAACCATGACGACCTATGAAATAAAGAATAATAAGAGGGAGAGAAGGGGGCTTATCTTAATGCTCTAAGCAGACATTCAGGTTCAAGGCGCCTACACCTTGTGTTAACAGCATACCGTCACAAACAGCTGGCTATCGTGGAAAGATAAGGCGGCATTGGCGAGACAACTTCCTTGCGGTTTTCATTGCCCCGCGTCATAATTAGTCATTACCCCGCAGATAACTCAGCACTAAACACACTTTAAACAGGCAATCCGATTAGGAGACGGCAGCAGACGTGCCACTGGTGTCGGTTGCGAGCCATGTCCTGTAAAGTCTCGAGGCAAGCACAGGGCGGGTCACATGGACTCCAGCCCAGAAGACGGGACGGACCAACGGCACCCAGTTTGGTCGTCAGTAACTTCATTTCCCGCTGCCTAGTCAACTTTTGTCTACCTCGAGCCTTGCGCCACCGTACACCTGGCAGACTAAACAAGGCTCTCATCGGTAAGCGGTGACCAGGCATACGTAGCACGTGGCCGAGCCAACGCAACTTATTCAGTGCTATCTGTTGTTCTAGGGCGCTAGCATGATTATCACTACCTAGTACTCGCCTACACACATCATCGTTGCGGACACGCTGGTGCCATCCGACGCCAGCAATGCTCCGCAGACAACGATGATCAAAGACTTCATGGCGCCTCAGATCTTCAAACCGAAAGGGCCAAGTCTCACTACCATAGAGCAGAACTGTTCTTACTGTGGCCTTGTATACATGGCCTTCCAGACGAAGGGAAACTCCCTCCTGTCGACAGAGGTCACAGGTTCAAGGTAACTTTGGCCTTTACAATGCGGGAGCTGACTTCAGTTTCTATGCGCCCATCATTGCTGATACATCTGTCAAGATAAGTGAAATGATCAACCACCTCGAGTTCCTCGTTAGCAAGCGTCAAGGGGTCATCAAGTGGCTGGTGGTCCTGCAGCAACACTTTCCACTTTGTAGGTACAAAATGCATACCAAATAATGGGACCACTCTGGACATGCTATTTAGGGTTGATTGTGCCACTGCAACATCGTCGAAAAGCAAGCTAATATCGATTGCATAATCAAGATCAACTGTTAACCTTTCACCAGGCAGCACTTCAACGCCTACGTCGTGAGATTCCGCAAGGGAACACTCCATGATAGAATCCATGAAGAAAATGAACAAAAATGGGGAAATGGTGCATCCCTGACGAACGCAACTTGTGGTCGGAAAGCTATCCGATAGAAAACCCTAGACTCTGACGCGGCCTGTAGTGTTCGAGTATAGAGCACGAAGGATATTCACATATTTCGTGAGAACACGTTTCCGCGCAAGTAATTCGAACGGAATCCATCGATCGACTGAATCGAACGCACTCTTGAAATCGAGGAACACAGCTATTGTCGGTCTGCGGTATGCGTGGCGCCGCTCTAGCACCTGCCGCAAAGTGAATATAGGGTCTATACAGCCACGTCCTGGGCGGAAACCGGCCTGCTTTTCCCTAATCCGAGGTTCCTGTTCCACAGTGAGGCGACGAACGATAATCGAGGCCAATAATTTTGTCACAACTGGCGTTAGGCTAATACCCCTGTGGTTCGCACAGTCTGTGTGACTGCCCTTCTTGTATATTGCCACTATAATTGATTCGCTCCAATTAGCTGATGCTCTCTTCCTTCCAAATACGTTCGAATAGGGAGGTCAATGCTTTGCAGAGGACCTCACTTCCATCCTTAAATAGTGCAGGTGGGAGGGAATCCGTGCCACGGGCACGAAAACGATTGAGGGCTATGATCGCGTTTCGGACCTCGGCCTCCGATGGAGGCTCTAAACTAACCGTCCATGACTCGTCCTACATCACCGTATAGGTGATACCCTGGAATATACACCCCGGAGTCTAGCATGTCCGATGATAACCGTATCTCTGTAAAAGTCATTAGGTCCGGGCAACGATCAGAAGCAAAGAGCTATATCTCATCCAGTTTGTTATCTTGGCGAATTACGTTAGCAAATATCACGCGCAATCCATTTTTTAGTCTAGTCGTTTCGTTAAGGCAGAGGCAAGACAGAGGTTGCGATATGTCAACATTTCGATTGTTCTCTTCAGTCGCAAACACAGTACAAGCAGAATCACGCAAGGGATTATATACATTGAAAAAATAAGCACCAGCAATCAAAATGTCACAGTCAAGACCATGGCAACCGGATTGATTGCCTCAAGAGTTTCTGTGCACATAGCACAGGTTGATAGGCCTTAATTAACAACGCCTCACTAGTTGCCAGCATTATCGGGTTTTTGTTACGTAATAACACTTTGAACGCTTTCTCAGGGTTCACGTGATGACGGGTTGTCATGAGTTTCTTGGTGATAGACGATGCCGGGTTCCGATTGATTCTCAGATTCGTCCCATATTGTTGCATAATCAATTGTCCCAACCTTTTTGGTAGATGTTCAGCTACCCTCTGAGCTAACCGTCGGTTTGTTCTGCCTATGTAAATGTCACCGCAACCGCGGGTGAGCTGATAAACAACGTGAGAGACCGAACTACCTGACGAGCTGCTCTGACGGTTATGAAGAACAAGTGCTCGCGTGGTATGCCTGAATCGCAACTGGGCTGTCGTGTAGGCTCGCGTTAGGGTGGACCGGAGCTTGCGTCCGATATCATTTGCCACATGGTCCCTTTGAACGGCAAGAACAAATAAACATCCTTTTTCTCAGCCGTCAGCACCTGTTTTCCCGTTGGGAGGTCTGCCGTGTACCTGAATAAACTTTTCAGGATATCCATTAGAAATTAAGGTCTTGCGTAGATATTCTTCATCGGCTTGTGGCGTTTCGGGGCTGCAAATACATCTAGCCGGGTAGAAGAGAGTTCTCACTTAGCCGCGTTTGTATGCGATCGGGACGAAGCTTGTAAAGTGAATTTACTGTCCAGTCCAAGTCGATTTGCGGTGAACAGTGCGCTGCAACGTACCTTCAGCCCGTCTCCTAATGAGTATATCCAAAAACGTCAGGCAATTGTGTTGTTCCACTTCATAGGATACCGACAGATTAGCGGGAATCGAATTCAGGATAGTCAGCAGCCGATTAAAATGTTCTACGTTGGTGAAGACTAAAATGTCATTCACATATCGTCTGTATAATTTCCCTTCACCAATGCTGGCAGCAACTTGCCTTTCTGTCAGTCCGATCGTTCTGGTTCATTGAAGTCTTTTGATCCAGAGAAGACGAATCAAGCTCGTTTTGGTGACTCATCTGTTTACTATTTGGACTTCATCTGCTATGACGTCCAAATGCTTGTCATGTTTTAAAGGAGTTACTTCGCGCTCTAAAGCCTTGCAGTGCACCATCTGCGATGGGTGGACCCACATAGCTTGCTGTGGAGTCGGCCATGAGTTGTACGAATTTCTCCTGCGATCCAACGTTCTGGGCTTAGGTTTCTTTTGCGATCTGTACCGTGTTACGATAAGCAACGGACGATGCCTTGATGGACTGCCTGTGCTCAGTCCGCTCACCTCTGCTGCTCAAGCTGAGATGAACATCGCTGCTGTCTCGTTACCAACTCTTTGCCTTATCACATTTGCTTCTGGCGCAGCTAACTCAACGGGTAAGCGTAGTCGAACACCGTCCAGCACATCTACAGAGACGCCGGCGGTTGTTGACCAGAGCGAAGTGCCTAAGATCAAGACGTACGCAGAGGTGGTAAAGAAAAACATACGAAATGTTGAACGCAAAAGCAAGACAGGAGTTAGGCTAAAATCCAAGTCGTCATCATCTCAGTCGCAGCTGAGTTTGCTTCTCGATAGAGTCTGTCAACTGAAGAAATTGCGTAAGGACTGCCCAGCTGTTCTGAAGCCGAAGATCCATGAGAATGCCACATCGCCATCTCGCGACCCCTGCCTTATCATCGTGAATACAGCCGAGTCCACCAAGGCTACCTCAGCTGAAAGGATTGTAGATGATCAGGAGTTCCTAAGACAGATGATCTCTACTGTTCGATGAAGGAGTGTCCGGGAGAAAGTAAGAATTGCCTTGGAAATTCCCTATTTTAGCGATTAATCGATTATTAACGATTATCGCATCGATTTCGAACGTTCCTGAATGTTCTTCTTCTACACGTGATCAAAATCCACCTGACCTCTCGGGAAAAGATATGGGGAACCACTAACCTTGGCAGCTGATCTTCCAATTCTAGAAGTCGAAGGTCAGCAGAGACCTATAAATACAGCCAGGGTCCTCAGTCGTTGTACAGTGTTCGTTGGCTGCGATTAATACGTTATTTGTCAGGGTCATCGGCGTTCTGCTTTTTTCCTTCGGTTGGGCTAGAAGTTTTGTGGAGCAGTGAATTGTTATTTTTGGAGTTGCATCTAGTGAGAAGATTATAACAAGGAGAACAAGGAATCAACATTGTTTCGGCTTTCAGCCTCGGCAAGAAACAGGAGGACTCCTCAAAGGTCCGTCCACTTAAAATTGTATGTCAAAACGATGACGAGGCCCGTCGCATTCTTCGACGAGTTCCGCGACTTAAAGGTGAATCATTTTATGTATTGCGAGACCTTTCCCCTGAGGATCAAGTGAGAATGAAACAAGCGGTTGACGAACTCAGATCCCGTCAAGACAACGGTGAGACAGATTTACATATTGTGGATTTTTGCGTAGTCCGAAAAGCTACCAAAATTCGCTGGAAACCACTTCTTGTCATACCCAGGCGTTAGAGGTGAAGAACGGATTGCGCGTTATTTCCGCTAATGTGCGCAGTATTCGAAATAAACTTGATGAAATTCAATTTCTTGCCTCAGCGAATCATCCTGACATAATGGCTTTCACCGAGATCTGGTTGTCCGCGGATATCCTAGACTCCGTGGTGCAGATCCCCGGGTGTCACCTCTGCCGGGCTAACCGCAAAGGAGGGTGGTCTGGTGGCGTAATGTATGTAATCTCAACAGTCTCTTAACTAGACATGGAGCCAGCATAAAACCATGGAAATCAGCAGATAAGCAAGATTCATCGCGTCATAACCATCGTGGCATGCTAGTTGAAGGTGAGCAACACACTTCAACTAATATGCCGCAAGGAAGAATGGAACATTTTGATAAAAAGTGGAGCAAAACATTTTATTTTGTTTTTCACACGCCGCTTTTGCTCTTTTTTGTCATTTTAATCTTTGTAGTATTAAACATGTGAATCAATACAATACTGTACACAATTCTTCCACTGATTCCGGTTGCGGACCATATCTTCAAGAGTGCCAAGCCATTGGCGGTGTGATCCTGTACTGGAATACAGACCTCAAGGCTCATCTAGTTGAAGTTACTTGTGATGGTAATGGTGGTTTCGAAACCCTGTGGTGCCGGGTTCATGATGGATGCAAATCCCTGATGGTCGGGGTTATCTACAGAGCTCCATTGGGTTCCGGAGCTCGGCTACTGGATTCAATTAAAATGCATGGTGGGGGAAAGGACTGTGTACTGTTGGGAGACTTCAATACCCCAAGTGTCGACTGGGATTTGCTGCACTGTGCTAATTCTTCAGACGTTTTCGCTGCGGACTTTTTGGAAACCGTTCTTGAGTGTAACCTATTTCAACATGTTACTGTGCCTACCCGTATATTTGTCGGACAAACCCGCCATATTCTCGATCTTGTGCTTTCCCCAGCGCAATCAGATGCCGCAGACACTACCATTCTTCCGCCTATTGGTAATAGTGATCACTTTATGGTTTCATTCCTCTAGACTCGACGCCTCCGTCTTCACAAACAAGATAGTTTCAACAGGAATTTCTGGCGTGCCGATCCACTCCGCCTGCAAGCGGCCGCAGCGCTGTGGACTGGAATATCCCTGTATCCTCGGACCCAGATGAGGAGTGGAACCTTTTGTACTCCAAGCCGATTTCCCTTGTTGAGCAGGTTGTTCTTATTTGCAAAAGGCGAACGTTTACCACCCCTCTTAGCCTCCCCCTCCAACCACGATCTCATTACTTAGCCTTATATAATTTTGCATAATAATTTTTTTTGGTTGCACAGCAGCCGGCTGGTAGCTTACCGGAACGATGCCCATCCGTTACCGGTAGCTCAGCCAGCTTTCACCAGTTGTTTTTTCTCTCCTTTTTTCTTTGTATTGCGGCACAGTAGCTGAGGTGTTTCCCACCTCTAGCTAACGTGTATGATGATGATGATGATGACCAGAGGCCCTCCATAGATAGACCGAGAATTGAGATGCTTAATGTCCAAAAGACGTAAATTATGGGACCGATTCAAGCTTACTCACTGCGCGCTTGATTATTCGGAGTACAAATTGATCAGAAACGACTGAATCTTGAAAAAAACGTCAGAAACGGCATCAGTATGAACGCAGTTTGGCTGTGCAATCCAGGACGACACCGAAGGCACTCTACTCTTACTTGAAAAGAAGTACCAAAGCTGGCAGTGGCATTCCTGCCCTGTTTTCTGCAGTGCAGAGCGGTTTACTTGACGACGATGGGACGAAAGCCAGTTTACTGGCCATGCAGTATTCATCTGTTTACTCGATCGAGACGCCGTTACCCGATGACACTGCGCCAATCCACCCCTCTTTGTTGCAGCACATAGAAATAAGTGTGGCTGACGTTGCCAAAGGCCTTCGTGAATTAGATCCGAACTCCTCGCCGGGTCCTGATGGACTGCACCCGCTGTTCCTCAAGACCGTGGCGGACTACATTGCTGCTCCCGTCTGCCAGATATTTCGTCACTCCCTGGAAGCTGGACGACTCCCGGTTGCTTGGAAATTGGGGACCGTTAAACCTATATACAAGGGAAGGGATCGTCAAGATCCTGCAAACTACCGACCTATCTGCCCAACGTCCGTACTGTGCAAGTTAATGGAAAGTGATCCTCAAGCGCGCCCTGCAGCTTTACTTCGAGAACCTTAACACCATCTCCTGTGCCCAACATGGCTTATGGCGGGCATGCTCATGTACCTCGAACCTGCTTGTTGCTCGGGAAAACTGGGCGAGGTCGTTAGACGCTGGGAAACGATTGGATGTGGTTTTTGTAGACTTCAGCAAGGCGTTTGACAATGTCCCCCATGAAAGGCTCCTTCTTAAACTCCGAGGTACCGGTGTCTCTGAGAATGTCCTTACTTGGATCTCTGATTTTTTGATTGGCTGGACCATGCGAGTCAAGGTGAATGAAGCCTACTCCACTTCTGTGCTGATGACTAGCGGTGTTCCGCAAGGGTCAGTACTTGATCCAGAACTGTTCAAGATATTCATCAATGACCTCCCATCGGAGCTTCAGATGGATTGCCTGCTTTACGCTGACGATGGATGAAGGTATCCTGTCTTGAGGATGCTGACAGATTGCAGGCATCATTGAACATTTTACACGACTGGTCAGTCAACTGGCAAGTGCCCACAAATTGTGAAAAATGTTCAATTTTCCTCATAGGCGCTCTCGAACCGTTCGGGATATACCATATTGGTAGGGTGTTACTCAGAACCACAAATCCTGAAGAAGATCTCGGTGTGCTTGTCTTACATGATTTACGGACCGCAGAAAACACACTACGGAGGGTTGCCGCTGCCAACAGGATGTCCCACACCATACGGAGAGCCTTCTCGCAACTGACTCCGGATATCTTCAGAACCCTGTTTACTTCTCATGTGCACCCGCTCCTTGAATACGGACTACCCGCCATCTGTCCTCTTACTCAGGTTCGAGTGTAACATGATTGAGAAGGTCCAGCGGCGTGCTTCGAAATCCATACTGGAGTTAAGGGACTTGCCTTACCCTCTTCGACTACAACAGATGCATCTGTTCTCCCTGGAATATCATCGACGTAGAGGTGATCTGATTTTTACTAGGCGAATTCTGATAGGGGAAATGGGGATGGAGCTACAAGTCAACACTAATAGTTCCACCCGACAGCACAACTGGAAACTATTTAAACCCAGAAGACTCAGAGTTCGCTTTATCAACCCGCATTGTCAATGACTGGAACGACTTGCCGAAACATGTGGTCGACGCGCAGACTGAGGAATGTTTCAAGCGATTTTTGGATTCCCACTTGATGAGTAAGCTGGGACCCTGCTTCTTCCAGTGTAGCTGTTACGGCCCCTTGTGGCATGCCGTCTTGTGGCGACTCACGGCATCCACACAATGATTAGGAAGTGAAGGAGCTGACAAAGGACTTTCCTTCTGCTCTCTACAATCCAATGTCGGCTAAAACTGGTCCTAGTCGCCCCGGGGACGACAATGATTGGCCTCTGGCGAACTCTCGGTGCCTTTTGAACCATACGAAAATCCACAATGTGGTGGTTACTTTCATCAGTTGGTCAGTGTATCCGTTGCTCATCAACAGCTACCTTCGTTCCGATCCAGTTTTCTTAGATGAGGTCTTGTAGTACGTAGAACCTTTTACCCTTAGGACGCTGGGTCCGTCTCGGCACGTCTCGACATTCATCTTTGTTTTGGCAAACAATCTTGAGGGGACGAATTTTAGGAGTGTCATCAGGCTTCCTGTTGAGACAAAAAACAGAGACGATATTGATTCTCGACTCGTTTTCATTAAGATGGAAGGAAACCATACGCCTTAGGAACTCTTGGTCATGCTGCATCCTTTCAGCCGGAGAGTCTTTGTTTGACTCAGGGGCATTCATAATGATCTAGCAACGATCACGAGGATCGGATTTGATGCTCACATCAGGCTGGAGCCTCGGATGATGCAAATTGTCTTTGAGGGCTTTTCTTACCTGACTTACTCTGTCAAGGACCCACTTCAGATCGGAAGTGGATGACTTAGTTTTCGGTTTAGCAATGCACTTAATTTTTACCTTTCTCAGAGTCGCAGACCTGCTAGCAGGTGTTGGCGCTACGCTTTCACTCACCACTGCCGCATACGTCTTAGTCTTAAATTCTTTGCCACTATCCTCAGGAGTCAGAGGCTCCAATAGCGACGAAGACGGAACACAGCTTCGCTTATCAGAAGGAGTGGTTAAGTCAGAAGTGGGTATTAGCAAGTAGGACGTCGGAGACTTGACAGCGGCGCGTTCATCCATTTGACTGGGAGTGGGCTGTGGACTGAGCGCAGGCAAACCGTTCAAAATACGCCTATCGTTCAGTCACTACGACACGAGTCACATTGGGTGATAGCCGAGGAGGTGGACCGCTGGTGGCATACGCAAAGATCTAAGGCGATGTCACAGCAGGCGATGCGTCGTCGCTCGTCACAAAGAGAGCATTGTACGGCCTTTGATCTGCCAGTAACGACTTTACCGCCATTCACGCACTTAGCGGCCGTGATCGGGGCAGGTCAGCAATCCAATATTCAGCTTCACTTCGTTTATGTATAGTTTCAAGAGAACGAAGCCCAAAAAATACGCTATCCGCAGGACAAACAAATTACGGAGAGAAAACCTCGAAAAAAGCACTACGTTTAGTCTCCTAATACCTTAGAGCTGTTAGTGCAACCGTACCAAACCCACGCGACGAGAGGTCGAACATGGCATCTTCATCGAAACACAAGTCTGAAAAATGTTTGTCAGAGCTTTGATTATAGCACTGACAACGGCATCCAGTGGTGTTAACCACTTGTTAGCGCGGTCTCTTACTAGGTGCTTGTGATACGAGCATTCAGCCGCCTACGAAGTGCTTGTTTTGTATGGCGCCCGCAAACTTTATTACAAACTACTTACTCGAAATCCTCGACCTGACGTATACCACATATTTGGCCACCCTGCCAGCTCTCCAAATCAGTCTCTAAAGTAGGACTGCGGCATTTGCGGCGATCACTAGCATTCCATCATGTCGAATCATCCGCGCCTATCACAGCGCTCATCAGTCTGTGCGTCAACAGGTCGATACGGGTCAGGGCTACTGTAGTCGCTGCGGACAACGCCTCTTTAAAGGAAGATAATGTACCACGTCAGAATGTCTTCGTAGCATTCCAACAGGTATGGTCGTAGAGCGTAACCTAGAAGGCCACTGTTCCTTCTTCTTCTTCCCATTTCATCTTTGGTGTCTTTAGAGCAGCCGTCCCACGCGCGTGTTTCCGCCGTCTATTCAATCACCTCATACTCGGTCTTGATGGAACTGCCCAACCTCTTACGAAGTATTTGTTTGCCTTTCTGCCCGCCACGCGGTGTAAGTAGTGATGAAACTGTCCAGCCGCCTACGTAATATCTGTTTTGCCTTTCAGCCTTTCGGTCTGTTACGACCTACGCACGCGGAAGTTCTCGGAATCCTCGACCGGACACATACTACAGAAGGTCCGGGTGTTACCTTTTAGCTATCTATAAGGTAAGATCCGTGCCTCGGTTATACGGCCATCGATATTTCTTCTCCCTACTTCCCCTTTACTTTTGCAACCATCGCCCGTGCTTGTATTCACTATCCATTCAGCCCAGTCTCGATCCCTCCGACAGCCGTGACAATGGCATCCAGCTCGCCACCAAGTGTTAGTCAGTCGCACGTTGCATTCATTGTAGTCTCTTACTAGGTTATGGTGATAACTTCATCCAACCGTTTACGAGGTATTTGTCTTCATTGCAGCCCTCAGGTCTAGTACGACCGGTGTACAAACCGGGCACGAAAGCCCTCGAAATCCTCGACCGGACGCATATCACACCATATCGTGCCGATGGTGGCTTGCGATGAATGTGCTGGTTATATCGGCGTACCTAAATTTGAAGAGTAAGCATCATATTTCTTCATGTGTACTACAGTCTTATGTTTCTTCTGTCAACCGGTACTGCACTCCGTTTTCGGCAATTCACTTAGATGTTTGTTACGCAACACACGTGTGTATGCGTTACTTGTTATTGAAACGTCACCTTGCATTCTGACCTCTAGGAATGTGATATGAGTTGGGTCTGTTTGCATGCAGATCTCTTTGCGAACACATGCTTTCATTAAACTGTAGTTTTTAAAACTTAACTGTCCGTCTGCATCCTTCAACCAGCATTTTTATTTTGGTCGTTTTGATTAAGTGAATAAAACAAAATAGATCGCAGCACATGTAAATATGACATTACAAAATACAATACACCGTTTACACCACCAGCCATAACCTACCAGTTGTTTCTTTTTAGTCAAGGCCTATGCACACCTGGTGTTTGTTAGACTATATTCAACTTCCATCAGGCCTCACCTGGAATACTGCATACAAGCATATCCTCCTTGCTTAATCATATACAAGACTGCAGTGGAAGGAGAGCTGAAGGTTGTTATTAATCTGGTGTATAGGTTAGGACGCATATCCTATTCCGAGCGACTATTTCTGTGGGACACTTTTGCCACTTTATCGACGACATTGGAGAAACCCATTCTTACCTGTCGCCTCTTTACCGGTTTTGACTCGAATTTCTCACATTTTTCCACCCAACTAGACTGTCAATTTCCCTTAATTACCCAAGGAAGCTAGGCATGGCTCGATCTTATCGGGTCGGGGCTGACAGCCAGTTATCGTTTAGAGTAACTTTCGTTTGGAATGCCTTGCTCGAAGATATGTTAACAGACACAGTAAGAGTCTGCGCGTCGGCCTGATGCGCTTGGTTTGCAGCTACAGGCCGTACTGTCCATATCTTAACCCTTATTACAACTGCTCATCTGTCGATTCTGTTCGTCGTTTTTCAGGGCTTAGATTGCGTTACTTATTTTTCATTCAGTTTTCTTTCGCCTCATTCTATTCGGCGTTTGCTTCCACTTCACGTGACCGGCACGGTGAAGACTACTAGTGCAGGGTGCGTGTGCGTTGATCTGTTCGCGCTTGCCGATCAGGCACTCAAATGGCATATCGGTTCACCAAGATCCATCCTGGATCATCGACGCTATCAAAATAGCCATTCTCGGAATTTTCCAAATGTTTCCCATTTGAACTAGAACTCGAGTGACCGGTAGGCTGCCCCTGATTGCCCGATTTGCGTGCTCCTGGCCGTCCCAATGAGACATATTTGATCACATATCAACTATTCATAGAAACGTGAGTGTGGTCTTACTTGCGCAGTATTGTGGTATGATGTGGAATTTTGCACTTTGAGCGCGAACGGTTTCTGCGACCAGGAGAAGCGCGTTCGCTGCAAGCTTTTCGACCACGTTGGGACTTTTTTGAGCAACTATTATGTAGCGGAAATTTGTATCACTTAGACGGCCAAGGGTAAACAAATCAGTCACTCTGTGGCAGTCCATCGGTCACTCTTGATGAGAGAAGTGGTCTAGACCATACAACAGTAAGCTGTGATTGGTTGATCCGCCTGTAATTCATGTGCTTTGCTTTAGGCCTATCAGAATTTTGAGTATTCCTTTCACTTCGTGGCCCAGCTTCTTGCCAATGATGAGACACATTTTTATCCCTTCGCTCTAACTTGCTTTGTTACCAAACACATCTTGTACTTGTGGAACGTCATGCATATACGCATCCACTCTGATGTGGAGACTGCTATTACTGCTTTAGTGTGACGCCGCCTCTCTTCTGAAGTATTGGAGAACTTTCCGTTCTTAGGTTTCGACTTCCTCTGAGCACATCATTACAGTGTGAGTTATTCTGAACATAACTTATAACCTACTTTTCACCTTGAAGATTCGGACTTTCTTTATCCCCCCTAATTACGTACCCTTATGTAGATACACGATAGTCACCTCAAACTTCAACACTAATTTCTAGTTTCTCTCCTCTTGAAGATAGAGATCCCGTTGGGTGACTTGTCGTCAGGCAGTATATGCACACGACCCTTCTTTGATTCAAAAGCAGCTGCTATGCGAACGAGTCTAACCAATAGTAAACTAATACATACGTCTGGTTTATACTCAGTTCAGTTCAGTTGAACAACAATGATCTGAGCACCGAATTGCAATGGATCCAGTTGCCACAACTCACGTCACCAGAATAACAATAAATAACAACGGCAAAATACTGGGGTTGAGTGCAAACAAAATGGTAGCAACAAGGTGCGTTAAACTTACCAGAATGGAACAAAAATTCGCAACCAGGCGAAAGAAATCATATGTAGGAATATTCATGACTGCTCGTCTGCGCCATATCTGATGCGGTCTCCAACCAATGGTATGGACCATCTCTAGGCCCATACCCACAAATACGGTATGCACCAACCTGACCAAGTCTATCAGTTAATTTCTTCATGCCTTTTAGCCACATCATGAACTGGTCACTGCGGTTACGACCAACTTGGTGCAGCCATGACGTATAGTGCACACAAAGGAGGCCGATCATCGGGCATAAGGAAGACATGGTCTAGCCAACGTAAGCGACTAAGATTCAGTTGACACTCGAGTGAGTTAACAGTGGGCTACTTGCCAAAAACCAACTGATGAACCTCAGCATTGCTCGTCTGGTCTTCTCACTAAACGTGAGTAATACTCCGCAAACACCGGTAGTCAAACACAACCAAGCGTTTAGTATCCTCAGTGCGAACTAGCAAGGTCCCTGATCCATACAGTAAGACCGGCCTTACCGCACCGTTATACACCCTACCTTTCAATAACATACTGACATCCCACCGTCTCCATAGATCGTTGAGTCTTTGGAAACCCACGGATGCCTTGCTGATATGCGAAGTAACTTCTTCAGTGATATGATCACCAGAGGTAACACAGCTATCGAGGTAATTGAACCAATCTACCACTTCCAGTAGCCGCTCGGTGACAGCTAGAACCGGAGGTGTGTCGTTCCAGTCCTGCAATAGTATTTGACATTTTGAGGGCGCAAACCACATGCCGAAGCGTGCAGCGTCATGCATCAGTCTATCCGATAGTGTTTGCATAGTCACTACGTTAGACCAAAAGGAAGAAGTATTGTCCGCATAACTGCAGCTTTGTCAGTCGATCGCCTGACAGAACTTCCACTCCGGTGGAGTCTGAAAAGATCGAGTCATTTCTGATCATTCGATCACAAGGTTGAAAGGAAGAGTAGATATAGGACAACCCTAGCTAACCTCATTTGTGGGGAACTAAGTACACATTTTCCCGTAAACCCTTACACGGCCTCTGGAGTCATAGTAAGAAGACTGCATAACAGGAAGGAATTTCGCCGACACGTCCTTCACAAATACGCAGTGCCACATGCTAGCGCAGTCAGCAGAGTCGGAGGCGACTTTCAAGTCTAATTGTGATGAACCTAATCTGATTATACCAAAATCTGTCCACTCACTAATAATCGAAATTGTCATACTCGGTCGTCTGTATGTGTTTCTGCTCTAAAGCTTGGCGAAAAATACCGTATATTACCGTGTACAAGCCGAGGAATTTTGGACGATTTTCCATGTCTGTATTGCGGGGTCGGCTTATGCAAAGCTTGTGCGCGATTTGAAAAAATGATATGCAAAATCCACCTAGAAATTCACTGCGCACCTATGCCCCTATCTTGCCTTAGCACCACTCGCTAGTGACAGACAGTATCCCAGGCGGGGATTCGAAGTGCCTATAGGTAGATACATTAAGTTTTGTATCGAAAATTCTCGGTATCTTGCACAGTTGACTTTCGCGACGGATGACAGTAACAAAAACATACTGATTATACCGAATCGAACGCCATCGCACACAATAATATTGGAAAAAGACATAACAGAACAGCACATGCATGCAGATTTTATGGGCTTACGTATCCAAACGCTGCACAATGCTATTAAAATTACTCGAATCCTTCGAAACTAGAATCTTACTCGGAATCTCCAAACAGGTTCTGGTACTGGTCGTCTGTCATTGGGACGTCATGGTGAATATCGTCATTTTCAACTTCACTGCTCTCGTCAGTATCGTATTCCTCAAAAATGACATCGTCCTCATTTCCATTCACAGCATTACTGACGCGGCACTTTTTTGAATGATCGTACGATAATTTCTGACATGATATCCGGCCACGCCTCTTTCGCCCAATCTGAAATTGTAACAATGTCAACCGTTTTCACATCGTCAGCGTTAAATCAGACAATGCCATCCATACAATCCACCTGGCTCGAAGCCTATCTTTAAAGGGTTTATCGAGACAGACATCCAACGGCTGCAAGACTGATGTAAGTCCACCGGGAGTTAAAGCCACGGACGACTTCAGTTTTCGACATCATTTCACCACGTTCTCAGTTCGGTGTGCCCTAAGGGAATTCCAAGCCAGCCCAGATGGCTTCTTTAAAAGGACACCGCTTCACTTTCTCCAAACTGTATTCAGCCAGTCTGTAGTGCCACTGTCGTCCTTCCATCTTTTTGCCTGAGTCCGCACAAACACGCCACTTGGGAACTTCGCTCACTTAAGCAGCGTCTTAAACATCAACATAATGAAAGATGATAGACGGGAGCCATATGCTCTAAAACAACTGTCAATCATAACTTTACTTGTTTCGTCATCTTTACGCGCCTTTCTACTCCACCGTGCGATTTGGCGGCATATCAAAGCACACGGGCGTCTCGTCCATATTTCTTATTTGAGACAGTTCAAAGTCTTATTGCTTTCTCAGCTGAATCACGAATCTTTGAAAACATTCAACTTTCCTGTCCACTGCCTTCGGCAGTTTCTGGGCTGGTTTTGTGCGAGTCCGTAATCACATGTCGAATCGGTCCATAAAATTGTTGCGCCATCCGGAGGAAGCAACAAAATTCACCGGTTTTTATAGCTGGAATTTCGGAACTTTTTTGACATTGTGAGCGCTCTGATCCGAATATTCGTTCGGGCAACAATTAACCCG